AATATCCCTCATGAATATAGATGCAAAAATCCTCAACAAAATTTTAGCAAATAGAATTCAGCAGCACATCAAAAAAATAATTCACCATGACCAGGTGGGCTTTATTCCAGGGATGACTAGGATACTTATTCACAACAGAAATGGAAGCTGTCCATGATTTGAAAATATATGTTCCAACAGTTTCTTTACAGATGAGTTAACTGAAGCCCAAATAAATTAAGAGATTTTCCCAAGGTCACATTAGTGAGAAGCAGAACTATAAACTATGCTCCCAGCTCCTCTCACTGTAAAATGACTACAGCACTGCAAATTATGTACACATGGGCTTCTAGAATGTAACATACATTTGCACCAATAGAAGTTAGGCTAGAGCAAACCGTCGCTTGCAAAACATATTGATTTTGCATGAAGATGAAGTCTTAAGGCTCCTCAATATTACACCACTTTGACACTTAGGCACTAAGTCATAGCATGTCTGGGAATCCCAATTGTAGGAAACTCTCTCGGAATTTTTCAGTTTTAACTAACAAAAGAAAAAATCAAAAGATTAGCTCATACATAAAGTCAACTCAAGTGGATGGAAACATTTCCTGGAACAAATCCAGAATGCCACTGGATTGTGGCGTAGGCAGTAGTATTAACAAACCTATAGAAAAAGACATATCAATCCCTAAGTAAGAAAAGAGTAGGGGGAGAGAGGATGCAGAAAGAATCAGAGAAGCAGAACAGGTAGAGTATGTCTAGCACTGCACAGGGAAAGGAGACACAGAATCTGGAGGATGTGAGTGACTGTGACCTGGAGAGTGGCAGAAGTCTCTTTTTGGGGTGGGGGGCAATGTTAGCCTATATGCTAATCTCAAGACATCTACCTTATTTTACCCAACTATTATGCTCAATAAGTAACCTTCTAATGACTAATTCAGTTTCCCATGTTCTTCCAGAGAGGCACAAAAATGCCCAGGACAGAACTGTCAAGAATTCATTCCAGTCACTAGAATCCACTTCGTACAAATCACTAAATTGACCTCTGTTTTACATATCAATCTCCCTAGGTCCAGTCAACTCAGAACCTCAGGGCCTCCCACGTGAAGCATGGTTGACTTCACCAAGCTGGTGCAACCTGTTGAGGCTTCTTCATGGTCAATCTGGATCTCTGCTGGGTTACCCAACCTCATTTCACACTCCTTCCATTCCAACACCAAACTTGCTGTCCTAACACGTCTTCAACAAAGACCATTCAAAGATTTAAAATATACCGTGAAAAGGCATTAAGAAAACTAATGTACTGCCCTTATATAAACTGAATATACTCCTTAACTGGTTCTTGAAGTGAAAAGTCTGTAGATTTCAAGTCTTCCCAAAAGGCACCTTTATCTACACTGCCTGGATTCCACAGGACCAAAACTAAGGACAAGCAACTGCACATGACAACTTAACCAAAAACACTTCTTTCCCTCCACATATTTTCACTCCCAATCATAATTATTCATTTTACACTTCATGTATGCAAAGGAATTATAACTCTGCAAAGAAAAATAGTAATATTCCTTAATTTTGACCCTGTTTCTAAAATGCCCTCCCTAGAAACTTAGTTGGTTTAGTTTACTGAATTGAGAGTCCTACAAAACCCTTTCAAGATAGTGCTTTCATATTTAGACTTATATCTTTTGCTTTTAGAGTTAATACCAAATAAGTATCTGTTTGTTGATTTGACCACTAAAAATTGCTAAGAAAATTCCTTTTCCAGTAAATGTAGACTACTTTCCAATGCCCTTTTCAGTATGATCAAAACCTGTGAATACTTACTAGACCACATTTTTTTTTTTAACCAGTTTTCCCTCTACAGACAGGAAGCATCAGTAGCCACTTATTTGTTCCAAGTTGGTGTCGACAGGGCTACTGAGTGTGACCAAGGACTCTATTTCTATTCTTGTTCCTCAGCCAAAATTCTATTCTTAGCCTGATACCAAGAATACTCTATCCAGGAATGCCTTGTGAAATAGCACTGTAACCAGTTCTGTGTACCACTGTATAATTTTTATAATCCTCCCCCTTAACTAACTACTCAACCCTTTGAGTTGTTTACCAGAAATGATGGACTTGAACTCCTGGCTTCAAGTGATCTTCCCACCTCAGCCGCCCAAAGTGCTGGGATTATAGGTGTGAACCACCATACCTGGCCTGAAATGATGGATTTTCCATAAGACAAAGGTGTGGAGGTGATGAAGGCCCCAGCACAGACTTCCTGCCGCCAAGATTTGCCATCCCCCTCAACCTGCACCCTATGTATACAGCCCCTTGTGAGATACACCACAGCCAGCCCCAAGGCATGTGGCTCCCGCTTCAAAGTCCATGATATCCCTTAGTTGGAGAGACAGATTTGGGGCAGCTGCTCCTGTTCTCTCAACAAGATGTCTGTCGTATTAAAGATTTCTTTCTTCCTTGGCAATCCTCATTGTCTCAATAATTGGATTTTTGTGTGACGAGTAATTGGATCTAGACCAAAACCCCCTGTGCTTTTGACAACAGGACTACATTGTTTAGGCTGAGATCAAAGATCCTGAGTATGACCATTATGAGTATGACCCAGAGTCAGCTCTGTCCAAAAAGTCTGAGTCATTCCCAGTAGTACATTGGGCTTCTAATCAGCTCTGTGTAAAACTCAGGCTTTGACCAAACATGTCCCTAGGGAATTGTCATAACCATTTATCTTGAAAATATCCCAGATCTTTGCTACTTCTTCTGCGCAGACACTACTAACCAGGAATCCAGATCCTGTTTTTCTCACATTTAAAATTTTGAATAAATGTGTTTAAAAGTAGAACCTACTTCCTCTATAAATATGGGCCTCCAAAGTGACCCAGAGAATTCTGCACACACCAGGTAGAAAGTCTTGGTTCCTCAAAACAAGGTTTGAAATCAATACCAGTGGTGGTCCATGCCTTAAAATGACATTGTAAGCCTGAGTAGCAGATAAATTGTCATATGACTTATCTAATAGAATTATAAGGTGGTTAGGTTATTATTTTTATATTTTAGCAGCTATAACAATAATGACCATGGTTCTGACAGCTAATATTGATTGAGTATTCACCACGTGCTGGACATTTTACAAGCATCATCTCATTTAATATCCTAATGGCCTTTTCAATTATTACTTTCTACAGATGAGAAAACCAAGTAACTTTGCCAATCTGGTTAAAGTATCAAACTGGGATTCAAGCCCAAGTCTACATTACTCTAGTTCTTGAGTTTTACACTCCTGCTTTAAAAAAAAAAAGAAAAGAAAATATCAATCTTACATTTTGGTTGGATTTTATGAGTGAACCTCAATTTTATAACCGATAAATAAATTATTCGTATTTTTGATATTTTGATATTTCCCTTTGTATCATTTCTTCCAACTTTACACTATCATCTGTGGTAATAAAACTGGACAAGAAAAAGAGTCTCAAATGTGCACTGAGCAAAGTACTCACATAGTCAATGGGCTTGAGAGATTTGACTCTAGATGCTGGGCAGCCACAGGAAGTGAGGTCGGCATAGAGGCCTTCTTCTAGTACACACTGATTATCAAAAATGTCCTCTTGGTAATACAGGAGCCAACTAAAAACAAAGCAGTAAGACAGTCAGTCAAATTGCATTCAGTTGGCAGCGTAGCTCATCATCATGCCGTGGGACCTGGGGTGGGTGTAGGACACAGAAGTCGTGGTGCTGACCAGCATCAGTAAACAACAGCTGTCACTGTCACTCACTGACTGCTCATTGAGTGCCAGGCATTAGGCTAGGTACTTTACATATATTATTTCATTGTGCTCTCAAGAATTCTGTGAGTCAGAAACATATCTCATTTTTGCAGGTAACAAAACTAAGGATTAGAAAGGTTAGGTGATTTGCCCAAGGTTCCCCTATTAAATGATAGAGCTGAAATTTAAAATAAGAAGATACCTGCTTTAAGCTAAAGACATTCTTTTAGTGTCTTTAAGTATAAAACTTTGGGATAAATTATGGTGGTTATTAAGTACTCAAACTGATTAGAAATCTTTTTTTGGAAAACCAGAAAAAAAAAAACCTGAAAATTTTTTGTACCCTTATTTAATGATGAGCTTGTATTCAGTCTGGGTGAGTATAGAAGCCAGACTTCTAAACTCATAGGAGGGTACATAAAATCTGTCACCTGACATCTGACAGCTAATAGAAATTTTTTTAAAAATGCTTTAGAAATTTTGTGAGTTATGTTCAATACAGCACTCAACAGAAGTTAAGAAATGCCCTTTTGAAAAGAAGGAGCCCAAGAGAGAAATTAACTGGCTATTACTAATCTAATTTTGTTGTGTTTAAGTTCTAGCCCTATAATTTAAGATATCACTAGGACTGTACTCTAGCTATACCAGGTTATCTTTAGGTAACCACAGAAATGCTCTGTGACATTATAATTTACTATCATGTATTTTATGTAATAAGCATTTTATAGCCAATAATTATCAAAGGTTTTCAATGTGTCAGGCATAAGGCTAAGCCCTTTGTGTACATTGTTTTACTTAGTCCTTATAAGAATCCTTTGAGGTACTATTATTATCCCTGCTTTACAGATGAGGAAACTGAGGTTCATAGAGATTACCCAATCAGCCTCAATTTACATAGCTAGGAAATGGTGGAACTGGGTTCAAATTCAGGTCTCTCAAGCATTCCAGGTGCTTTTACATTCACCAAGGTTCTTGTATTCTTTTATTAAACTTGGGTTGTATATTTCCTACATGAAGAGACACCTGTGACTAATTTGTCCTAGACGTAAGTATCAGGAAAAACACATTTTCCTCCAGAAAGCATTTCAATGCTTCTTATTAACAGAAAATGAGTCTAAATCTTGCAAAATATTTTATGTTAGTTGAGAAGAAACTCAGAGCCAAATAACAGTAACAAAATTATTTCAGGTCCTTGATACATATGTTTCTCTCTTACCAAAGAGTTGCAGATAATCGATTTAACTTCAGTACCCTATTTTATGTGTTTTAATGTTGCAAAACTCTCCTATCCTTTTTGGAAGTAAGTATACAAACATTAACAAATACAAAGAGGCTCAAAGCAGAAAAGCTATAGGAAATATGAGAGGGAAAAGACTGCTTGATTTAGGATTAATCAAGAAGGTTAACAGAAAGAATGGGGATGGACTGAACCTTAAGGGATATATTTGGATTAGTATTAAGCAGGGGTCACAAACTTACATACCTGCAGGAGACCAGACAGGTAATGCAAATGAGCAGCGTAGCAGGTGAAAAGAATTGGAAATGGTAGTGACTACGGCACACTTGGGAGCACACACACAATCTAGTCAATACCAGCAATTATTGATAAAGGCAAAAACTTTCGCAAGGTCTTCAAATCTCCTCAGTTTTAAAGGGAAGATGAAAACAGGTTCTTCTGAAATATATCCTAAACATAAGTGTTGATACAAAATTTTTTTTAACCCAGCGTGCAGGCCAAACAAATGACCTCTGCTGGCTAGTTGTACTAGAGACCTACGAACTTTGGTGTGGAGCAGAGGTGAGCAAACCACAGCATGTGGGCCAAAGCTGCCCCACTGCCTGTTTTCATACAGCCCATAAGCCAAGACTGGTTTTACATTTTTGAAGGGTCTAAAAAAATTAAGACTGCCTCATGACGTGTAAATGTTACATGCAATTCAAATTTCAATGTCCATAAATACAGTTTCATTGGAACACAGCCATGCCTGTTTTTCTGTGCATTGTCTATGGCTGCTTTTGTGCTACACACAATGGCAGTCTAATAATGAATACAAAGAGAGCTTTGTGTTTGTTATTGAATTGCAGAAGAGCTATAGGAAATATGGGAAAGACTGCTTGATTTATTTACTACCAAAGTCGAAAATATTTACTATCGGGCCCTTTATATATACTTTGCTGACCCCTGGTATAGACGGTAAAAAGGAAAACAAATGGCTGAACAAATGTTAGAAGAGGGGAGGGGAGGAGAGGGGAAGAGGGGACAGTATGAGGACAGGATGGAAATGGATCAGTCGATGGGAAAGCCTGGAAAAGGAGGAGTTTGAACTTGACTGGATTGGTACTAGAGAATGTGGGTGGGGATTCAATCAGACTAGTAAAAATATTAAAATGGATTTTGGGACAAATAATTGGACTATGACTGATGGTAAATGCTGGAAATCAGAAAACACGGGAGCAGGGGATAATTAGAAGATCGAAGTTCCCCAAGTGAAATACAGAAGATCAAGGTCTCTAATGGTCCAAGAAAGAAAGGAGGAGAATTGACAAACCCAAGATATTTTGAAGGAAGAATTTAGAGACTTGGATAGGCTATTAGGTAGGTATTTGGTACATAGAGATGCCATTGAACTGCACACTTAAAAATGGTTAAAATGGTAAATTTTATGTTATGTATATTTTATCAAGATAAAAAAATGATAGAACATATTTTAGCCTTGAAAATCACATACAGTTTGATAAACCTATAAGAAAGATCCAGTATGTTGTTGCAGTTATAAGAATATAAACTTCAAACCTAAAAAAAAAAAAAAAAAAACTCCCAAAGCAATCCTGGGTCTGACACTTGGTATGTGATACTGGGAAACCCTAACTCTGAATCTGGTTTCCTCATCTGCGAAATGGGGATAGTAAATACCTTAAACAAACAAAAAGATTAAAAAAAAATAAATTTAGGAGTAAT